GGCCAATAAAGATCACAAGGCAAAGGGCAAAGCAAAGATCACAAGGCAAAGGGCAAAATCAAAAACTCCTGATAAGGATCTATGTTCAACTGTGCACATATGGTCTTGATAAACAACTTAACAGAAAACAGGCATCAAGAGCAGAGAACCGGTCTACCTCAAATTTACCAGGGAGTGTTTTTTTCCCCATCCTAATAAGCCTGAGGGTACTGCAGGAGACCAGGGCGTATTTCAGTCCTTATCTCAACCCCATAAGACAGACACTCCTAGAGCGGCCGTTTATAGACCTCCCACCAGGCATGTAATTCTTTTCCTAGGGTCTTAATATTCCTTGCTAGGGAAAAGAATTTAGCCATATCTCTCCTACTTGCACGTCTGTTTACAGGCTCTCTGCAAGAAGAAAAACATGGCTCTTTTTGCCCAACCCCACAGGCAGTCAGACCTTATGCTTGTCTTCCCTTGTCCCTAAAAATCGCTGTTATTCTGTTTTTTTCAAGGTGCACTGATTTCATATGTTCAAACACACGTTTTACAATGAATTTGTGTAGTTAACACAATCATCACAGTGGACCTGAGATGATGTACATCCTCAGCTTACGAAGATAACAGAATTAAGAGATTAAAGTAAGACAGGCATAAGAAATTATAAAAATATTAGTAGGGACGTGATAAATGTCCATGAAATCTTCACAATTTATGTTCCTCTGCCACAGCTCCAGCCAGTCCCTCCGCTCAGGGTCCCTGACTTCCCGCAACAATGTCCTTCAGCAGGTGAATGGATAAACAAACTGTGGTGCAGCCATACAATGAAATATTATTCAGCAATAAGAAGAAGTGAGCTATCAAACCATAAAAAGAAGGAATCTTAAATGCATGTTACTAAGTGAAAGAAGAAAGTCTGGAAGGGCCATATACTATATGATTCCAACTATATGATATCTGGAAAAGGCAAAGCTATGGAGACAGTAAAAAGATCAGGGCTTGCCAGGGGTTCAGAGACAGGGATGAATAAGTGAATCACAGATTATGTTTAGGGTGGTGAAATTAATCTGTATGACACTATAATACTGACATCAGTCATCTGCACATTTGTCAAAACCCACAGAACTATATAATACAATGAATGAACTTGAATGCAAAACATGAACTTCAGTGAATAATAATGTATCAATATTAGCTCATCGATTGTAACAAATGTACCACACTAATGCAAGATGTTAATAATAGGGGAAATGGACAGGACGAGGGAGCATAGGGTATACTCCATACTTTCTGCTCAATTTTTCTGTAAAACCTAAATCTGCTCAAAAACAAAGTTTGTTAATTTTTTCTTTAAAGTCAGAAAGTAAAAAGACATGGGCAGAACCTCAAGGACTAACAAGTTACAGTCACAGGAGAGGACAGAGAATGGGTTTTAAAAAACATTTGCAGAAATAATAAAGAAGAAATGTCCAAATTTGATAAAAAACATAAATTTATAGATTAAAGCTTAGTAAACCTCAACTCTAATAAACACCAAACATAGCACTCTACACCCCCTTCCCCTGCAGCTTGGCACATCATTGTCAAACTTTTGAAATCCAAAGATAACAAAAATACATAAAACATCCAGAAATAAAAATGACATATAGCACACATGGAAATGACCCCAACTTCTCCTCAGAAACAATAGAGTCTAATTTCATTTGTCTCTCTACAAAGTTCCTTTTATGAGTTTCTCCCCTATGTCTCATATTCTAAGAAAGCGTTTGTGAGACGGCAGTGCTAGTAGTGAAATATGCAATATCTACAAAGGAAAGGGTGTGCGTGGGAAAATAAAAACAAAAAAAGAACCTCCCCTTTATCTATATTACTTCTTATTTGATGCTCCCAGACTGTAAAGTTTAGCTCAAGTAAGGCCTTAACTGAACTAATACAATTATTTTGAACAGAGAAAATGTTCTCAATCATATATTTTTGGTTTGGGTTTTTTTTTTGTTTGTTTGGAGGCAGGGTTTCACTCTGTCACCCAGGCTGGAGTGCGGTAGTGTGATCTCGGCTCACTGCAGCCTCAACCTCCTGGGCTCAAGCAATCCTTCACCACAGCCTCCCCAGTAGCTGGGACTACAGGTGAGTGCCACCATGCCTGGCTAATTTTTGTATTTTTTGTAGAGACTGGGTTTCTCTATTTTAAAAAATAATTTTTTACTATTATTATTTTAAATATTTTAACAAAAAATCTGGGATGCGCAGATACAAAGACTATAAAGGTTTAAAGGTTTTTTCTTTTAATTTCATAAATTGTATGCCATGTCAATTTTCATTTGATGTCAATTTTACGTGGATACTAAAAGGTCTAAAACTTAACAATCTTTAACACCAAACTGAAATCTCATTTATTGTAAAACACCCTGAAAATTCAGAGGCTAAAAATTTCCCAAGACCGAAAGACAGTGAAGAGACATATTAACCCAGAGTGTAGTGAGTCCAAGTAGCTCCAAGAAAGGGCCTGGGAAGATGTGCTGAGTTGACAGTACAGGAAAAGTACCACTAGGAAAGAAACAGCTCTACCTTTCTATCACATTGTTAGGTAAATATTCACTTAGTACCAGCGACTTCAGGCAGCAAGTAGGGCAAATTATCCCGGTGTTTCAGGATTAAGGTAATTTAGCAGCCCTGCCCACTCGCCTTGAAAAAATACACAAACATTCCCAACAAAGTCAGGAGCAGTAGGAGAGCTAAGATCTAAGTGAAAACCTCCTGCCAAGTACTAGGATGGGAGCTAATAAAAACCTAGAACTGTTCTTCTTGTTGAGTGAAATCTGACAAATTAATGATAATCCTTAACAAATTTTAACTCAAATGTGTCCTTTTCCCTATAATCAGTCACATGCTCTTCTTTCTTCCCACCCACCCTGCAAACACTTTGTATGCTGCTTGAGAGAAGCGTATCTTTAATGATTCTAGCCGGCCTGTAACATCACTATTTCAAGCTCAAGGCTTGGGTTCTAGTCACAGCCACTAACTACCTGTGTTATTATACACAACCACTTTACCTCTCTCCACATGAGCGTCCTAATTGCTATGATAAGGAAATGGAAAAAAATACGATCACTAGCTCTAACACTACAGTAAACTGTACCAGAAATTTATAAACTTTCTACTTCCTTAATACAGATGTCAATGTGCATTTTTTTCCTTTCTGAGTTCATAGTATTTGTGAAATTTTCAAATGGGTCTGTATTACAAGAAAGGGTAAGAACCACTGATAAAATATTAAAATGACATCAGTAAAACTATTATTTCCTTTTTAAGAAGATAGCTCATGACAATGCACCTTTTAAATGAAGTGGAAATGCCTCGTCTAAAAAAAATTCACCATGCTGCTTTATGAAGTAAACGTAGTAAATTCAGTCAGGAAGGGCACTGGCAAATGAAATCCACGTTGCAGGAAACTGTAAACACTGCATTTGGTTCCAGAATACCGATTTTTCCCTTCATTTGTTCCCATGCCACTTTGGTTCTTCTGACTTTCAGATCCCCCTAACCAATTCTTAGCTGGCATCTCCACTTGGCTGCTTCACAGGCACCAAAAAGTTTTCTGCCTAAAACTGAATGCTCAATCCTTCTTTCCACATCTATTCCTTTCCCAATTTTCCTCACTCTGTAAGTGGCATCATCATGAACACTGTTCATCAAACCAGGCACTTTTCATCATTCTTGACATTTCCTGCTTATATTTACTCCACCACACCCAATCTACTTTCTAACAAAACCACCCCAAATCTATCTCAACTCAGCCCTCCCCTTTTCTCCCCAATTACACTGCCCCACACGAGTCAAAGCCATCATTTGCTGCTCCCTGGACCTCTGCAATAGATCCTTAAATGGTCTCTTCGCCATTACACAGACCGCCCCAAATCCGGACAGAGTGGAAATCAGATCCTGTCATTACCCCGCTTTAAATCCCTCTATTGCCTTCCACTGAATTTGAACCAAAATCCCACCTTCTTACAGAGTTCACAGGGCCCTGGAGCACCAAAATGCTTGGTTCTTAGATCCTGCCAAGCTTTTTCCTGTCTCAGGGCCTCGATACGTGTTCCACCTGAATGCTCTTCGACACGTATATCCTTTTTTTTTTTTTTTTTTTTTTTTTGAGACGGAGTCTCGCTCTGTCGCCCGGGCTGGAGTGCAGTGGCCGGATCTCAGCTCACTGCAAGCTCCGCCTCCCGGGTTCACGCCATTCTCCTGCCTCAGCCTCCCGAGTAGCTGGGACTACAGGCGCCCGCCACCTCGCCCGGCTAATTTTTTGTAGTTTTTAGTAGAGACGGGGTTTCACCGTGTTAGCCAGGATGGTCTCGATCTCCTGACCTCGTGATCCGCCCGTCTCGGTATATCCTTAAAGTAAGATTCCATTGATTGTGCCCATTTGTTTTGAAAAGGGAGTTTATTATACAGTTGTTTTAAACAAGTTCATAACCCTAGAGCTTAGGTATAGAGTGACTGCTCTAAACTAAAGCAACAGAAGGGAAAAGGGAGCAGGGCAGGTCTTCCAGCAGAACACCAGCTACCATTTCTGTGGCCAGGCCACGCCATCGATTCAGTCGGGGAGCCCTGCCCACCGAGGCCCAGCAGCCGGCTCCTGTGTGCAGCTGCCCCGCAGCAAGCGCCGGCGGCCTATGGCGCCGCCCCATTTTTCCTAATACTTGGACTCGAACTAATGGAGTCACTGTTAGGCGAAGAAAGGAATGACCTCCAAGGTCACATGCAAGCAAACTTTGGTCTCAAGTCAACAGGAAATTGCATCGAAATCGCTGTCGCTAGCGTCTTACAAGTAAGGGTTTTCTCCTTAACCCAAACAAGCCTTTCGGGCTGGGTTTTTATCACTTCCGCTCCAAAACCGAGGAGGTTGAGTGAACTTCACCCCACGACCCCCGACTCTCCGCGGCGGCCGGAAGCGGAGGCCTGGCCGGGGGAGGGCAGGACCCCGAGGGGCGAGGAGAGGAGGGGGCTGCGCTCACCTCGGAGCAGAGCCATGGCTGCGGCTGGGTCGTCGGCGGCGCGGGTCTCTGGTCTGGGGGACGCAGAGCGGCCACTTGCAGTCACCCAGATTTCAAGAGCGTGGGTGGCGCCCCGGGAGCCACGCCCCTGCCCTTTCACCTACTTCCCGCGTAAGATGATCCTACTCCACGCGTGGCTGCCCGCCTCACCCTAGCCCGAGGGAGCCCGGGGGTCGGGGCTCGGGTAGACGACTACGCGTCTTGAGGGCTGACTCTTTCCTCACGTCCTCGTTTTTAGATTTTCTCCGTTTCCAAACCGAGAGAATTTGGTTTGATACCTCTCCCCCATCATATCCCAGCCCCGAGAGGGAATGACTGTTCCCTTTGGTCTCCGCCAGAACCCTAAACACCTGGCAGGAGCCCAGGCCTGAGGAACTTGGCGCGCTGGCGGCCGCCAGCTGGGGGCGGAACCGAACGTCCTGGGGGCGGGGCGCGGCGGAGGCGCGACGGGATTGGCTGGAGCGGGCGGCTGCGCAGTCCGCTGGGCAGAGGCTCTGGTCGCCGATCTGGACGCGCGACTGCGCTTGGGTGCTGTACTGAGGGCTGGGCGGAGAGGTGGGCGGCAGTTGGGGTGCGGTGAGTGTAGTAGGCTAGGGCGCTTTCGGGTCCCTATTGCAGCCCCCAGATGAGCCCGTAGTATTTTCCTTATATGATCAGGTCCCACTGCGGGCGGCGCAGCTTGCCCGGAGCCTGAGAGGATTATGAAAACGTGGCGAGCGAAGTGGGGCCAGGGGACCTGGAGCGGGGGCGTGAGGAGAGGGGGCAGCAGGTGAGGCTGGACGGGAGGGAGGTCTAGGGAGGCCTCTGCCGCGGTCACTGTGAGCCCTGGCCGATGATGACGAGACCACTGCGCAATCTGAGTTATGGGAACCACGTGATGGAGTGTGTTCTGAGAACAGACTGAGGCCGGGCGAGCAGGAGGCGGCCGGGGCAAGGGAGAAGCGGAGAGCCCCTCGGTACCAGGGCTCGGAGGGCCGGGTTGCCTAGCGAGGGCTTCTTTGAGTGCGTGGGGGTGGTGGGTGGCATGGACGGTTTTTCTGAGTCGTCAGCGAATGCCCCCTCTAGAATCCTGCTTTTCAAACGCTTTGGTGACACTCTTGCAGTGTGGGGTTTTTTTAAAATCCAAATTTGTATTATGAAAACTTTCAAACTTACAGAAAAATGGGAAGACTTGTACAGTGGACGCATATCGACCCAATTGTTAACATTTTGCTATATTGCTGACCACCTGTTCTTCCATCAAACCATCTTATCTTTTTAACGCAGACCTTAGTACTCTACACCCATAAACACATCAGCACACATTATTCATTTACAGTTCTTTTTAAGGCAAAATACCCACGCAATCAAATGTACAAATCTTAGACAAGCTTCACAAATGCTTATGTATAGGCCGGGCGCCGTGACTCACGCCTGTAATCCTAGCACTTTGGGAGGCTGAGGTGGGGGGATCACGAGGTCAGGAGATCGAGACCATCCTGGCTAACACGGTGAAGCCCCGTATCTACTAAAAATACAAAAAAATTAGCCGGGCGTGGTGGCGGGCGCCTGTAGTCCCAGCTGCTGGGGAGGCTGAGGCAGGAGAATGGCGTGAACCTGGGAGGCGGAGCTTGCAGTGAGCCGAGATAGTGCCACTGCACTCCATTCTGGGTGACAGAGCAAGACTCTGTCTCAAAAAAAAAAAAAAAAAAATGCTGCTCATGTATAGAGTGTTCATTTTCATACACACTTTTCAATTTGCCCTCTACATATTTAAGAAAGGTTAAGTATCACAATTTCCCACTGCAGATCACCATCAGTAGGTCTTTACAAATGTACTGTGTTTTCTCTAATTGGAAATGTCACTAGTGAGTGGATTCTAAAACCATTCAGTGAAAGGTTTACATATGTTAAAACATGTAAATATATGAGAGAATATTGACATAGTCTGCAAGTCTTATGAAGAGGAAAGGGTACCTTTACAATGGAGAAATCTTGCAGGTATTACTTCACCGAATTATGAACTAATGGTGTCCCATCACCAATAAAGAGACAAACTGATGTCATGCGCTCCCCTTGCTACAGCGACAACACAATCTCACTTGCGTAGAATTTCTCCTGAAAACATCTGGCCTGAATCTAATTATAAGGAAACAATGAGACAAATCCACATGGAGGTACATTCTGCAAAACAACTGAACTCTTTAAAAACATCAGTGTGGTGAAAAACAAAAAATGGCTAAAATAGGAATAGTATCACATTAAAGGAGACTAGAGATGTGACACATATTGTATGGGATCCTTAATTAAAACGTGGGTTAAAAAAAAACTCTAAAAGACAGTATTGGGACAATTGGAGAAACATATAAATTATAGATGACATGGTAATATTGACATTAAGTTTCCTGATCGTGATAATTATATTGTAGTTATGTAGGAGATTGTCCTTTGTTCTTAGGAAATACATACTGAAATATATACAGGTGAAGAATCATGAGGCCTGTAACTAACTCTCAAATGACTGGAAAAAATGCATATGTGTATATACAGTTATGTGTTGCTTAACCACGAGAATACATCCTGAACGATGTGCTATTAGGCGATTTCGTCATTGTGTGAACATCATGGATTTCACTTACACAAACCTTGATGGTAGAGCCTACTACACACCTAGGCTATATGGTACAGCCTATTGCTCCCAGGCTACAAACTTGTATGCATGTTACTGTACTGAACACTGTAGGCAGTAGGCAGTTGTAACACAATAGTATTTGTGCATCTAAACATAGGAAAGATAGTGCATGACTATACACTGGCAGAGAAAGATAAAGCAAATATGGCCAAATATTATGAACTGGGGAATCCAAATGAAGAATATACAGTTGTTTATTATTCTCTTTTTTTTTTTTTTTTTTTTTTGAGACAAGAGTCTTGCTCTGTTACCCAAGCTGGAGTGCAGTGGCATGATCTCCACTCACTGCAACCTCCGCCTCCCAGGTTCCAGTGATTTTCCTGCCTCAGCCTCCTGATTATCTGGGATTACAGGCATATGCCACCCCACCTGGCTAATTTTTGTATTTTTAGTAGAGACAGGGTTTCGCCATGTTGGCCAGGCTGGTCTCAAACTCGTGACCTCAGGTGATCCGCCCACCTCGGCCTCCCAAAGTGCTGGCATTAGAGGTGTGAGCCACTGCGCCTGGCCCATTATTCTTTTTCTAAGAGGGGGTCTTGCTTGCTATGTTGCCGGGGCTGGCCTCAAACTCCTAGGCTTAAGGGATCCTCCTGCCCCAGCCTCCTGAGTAGCTTGGGACTACAGGCATGTACCACATTCTTCTATTTTTGCAACTTTTCTGTAGGTTTTAACTCTTTCAAAATACAAATTGGGAGAAAAAAATGTCCTTCAATTAAGCTACAAAATTGCTTGAAACAAGTTATTTTTGAAAATATTTAGTCCTTTTCAGGTTTACATCATATTTAAGCAGGTATGTATTCTTGTAATTTTAATATGTATATTAAAATTGTTATAATTTTTGTCCAGATGTGGAGGGTTTCATGAGATGTAAAGTTAATGTTCTACTTTTAGATATTTAATGCTCAGTATTTTTAGAAACGCAATGTTATCATTTCTATACTTATTTTCCTATGCTTAAACACAGTTTCTCCTGCTTTCCTATAACACTAAAAATTGACAGTGGCTTAAGCAGCAGTGGCTTTAGAAGTTTCAGTAATGGAAACTGGGGAAAGCTGACCAAGTCAGTAGGGCCTAAGACAACTTTTAAAAATGAGTATATGAATCTGAATGAGTGAGACAAGTGAATTTGCTGATCTTGAGTAGTTTGGAACGTTATGTGTGTGCTCACTGTTAATCTAATTGCTGTGGAAATAACTTCAATTTTTGTTAATTAGAAGGCAAATGTTGAATGTGGTTTTATTCTTACAACGAATACTAACTCTTCAGAAAGTTCGAGTTGCCAAGCAAGAACATCAGATGAATGAAATTGTTTGCAGTGGCAAATCCGTACCGGCCTGCAGCAACTCACTTCTTGCCTCCTCAAAGGAAAGAAGCATAAGGCAGAGTGAGAGACCAAGGCAAGTTTTTGAGCAGGAGTGAGAGTTTATTAAGAAGTATTAGAGCAGGAATAAAAGTAAGTAAAGTACTCTTGGAAGAGGGCTCAGTGGGCAACTTGAGAGATTCAGCTGTGCCAACTGACCCTTGATTTGGAGACTGATACATTGGTACGGTTCTAGGCCTTGCATTACTTCTTCCGACTCTTCCCTTGGGGTGGGCTGTCCGCATGCTCAGTGGTCTGCCAGCACTTGGGAGGGGCGGCATGTGCGGTGTGTTTACTGAAGTTGTGCACATACTCACTGGAGACATTCTTCCCTTACCAGTCTTTTTCCTAGAGGAAGCTCATATGCCAGTTAAACTCCATCATTTTGCCTCTTAGTGAGCATGTTTGAGCCCACTCTCCCAAAATCTTATCCAGCAGCTGCTTATCACCAGATTCTAGTATTTTCCATCTACTGGGAGAATGTCTTTCCCTGACACCAGTTGAGACCAATGATTATTTTAGATAGTTTAACAACTTGCCTTACCATCACCTGATAGTCGCTTGACATTCCTGGGTGGGGTGGGGGAGATTTTCTCCTGCCGTGTTCAAGTCTGCCCAGCTACCTATTCTAAGGGAATGTAGACAGGAAGTAATACAGACACCAATTTGCCAAACTCCCTCATGTTGTTTACCCTAAGTCTTTATGTGTTCCCAGTACCTCTAAGGCACTGTCTCAAACTTCAGACATTTGTTTTTCTTTCTCTACTTGTCTGAAGGTTATTTGCAGTGTCTATATCTTTGGCTTGACTTTCATGTGTAACATAACCTTAGGCAAATCTTCCTTGGATCTAAGTTTACTCTGTAAATACTAATGTTGGTAGAAGGAGACAATGCCATTGTTGCCTTTCAGCCAGAAACCTCCAGAAACACACCTATAGTTGAACAAGTTGGGTTTAATGTTCTTTGGAAGAAGGGAGATTGCACATCATGGGTGTGCCTTTGGGAACTGCAGCACATCTCAGTAAAAGGGTGGTAGGATTTGGGGTTTGGTTAGGTGATTTGGGGAGGATCCAGGGAAGTACAGGTTCACTCTGTATTGGGTACTGTCAGGAAGTAGGGACAAGTCTTTGGGTATCAGTACTATTCAGGGTTCTCCAGAGGGACAGAACTAATAGGATATATATATATATAGGAGTTTAAGGCCAGGCGCGGTGGCTCACACCTGTAATCCCAGCACTTTGTGAGGCTGAGGCGGGCGGATCACGAGGTCAAGAGATTGAGACCAGCCTGGCCAACATGGTGAAAACGCGTCTCTACTA